CTTATCACTGTGATAATCTCTTCAGATATATATATAATTTTTTTATTAATCTCTTAAATTCTCCCTTCTGAGTTAATGTGCACAGCACTGTCATGACAAGTCCCATCTTTAAGCATAATTTAACAAAAAAAATTCATCATACAAAAATCAGCTTGTGAAATGTTCGGATCCATATGTTGCTGCATCTTACAATAATGCAGAACAAAATGCATTGAATACTTCTGGTGTAAAATACTTGATGATAAAAACAAACAAAAAAAACATAAAGAAGTTATTTTCTTTGAACTTTTAAACTGATTGAGCAAGTTGTACCACAACAAATGTTGCTTTGCCGAGGTGCTCCCTACATAGTGCCCTATACATTGATCCCTATATAGTGAGTAGGGTGTAGGGAGTGAGTGGATGATTTTGGACACAGCCACTGACTTTTTTCTTCGTCCTGACCTCCTCCATATACCTACCAAATTGCGTAGGTCTAGGTCAAACGTGCTTCCGTTGGAACTCCGTTGAAATTTTCCAGGTGGCGCTGTGGAGCCATTTTTCTACTGAGGTTTGTATTTCCCCCTAATTTAAATTTTTTTTGTCGGGTCTGATGTGTGTGCCAAGTTTTGTGAGTTTTCGAGTATGTTTAGAACCTGAAAAAAGTGCTTCTTTGTGACGAAGAAATAATGACATAGTTCCAGTAGGGTCCTTGCACTGGTGTGCTCGGACCCTAGTAATAGATGACAAACTGATACTTTTGCAGACTGACATGTGATCGCGGCTCACCTGGTCTTTGACTCGGATCATGCAGGTGACTCCAGAGGTTCCAGGCAGGGAGATTCTTTTAGGTGGATGTTTGTGGTTGTTTATTTGCCAGAGACACAAATCCACCGAGTCTGCACAGCCGGTCCACACCTGCCCTCGCTGGGACAAACACAAGTCACAGGTATGCTTTGAAAGAAATCGGTACAAATACTACAAGAAGCACTGACAAAAAGCATTTTATCTCTTGTTGGAAAGTCTTTTTGGCAGCTAAAATACATTAGAATTTAATTCTATCTCCATATTTAAATGTTTGAGAAATGTTTGCAGTATGAGCTCATTGGTTGCTGCAAACAGTTTACAAACCAAATTACTCTCATGGTCGCTGTTTGCAAATCAGTCTGAATACGTGACCTTATAACACACTGAACGGCTGCCCACTTCCTTAACCGTTTGACTTATTAGCTGAGGATTGTGAAGTCACCTCTGGGATGACGACGAAGCTGCTGAAGCTACTGGGCATGCTCCGTAGGTCACTGGGAAGTGTTATTCTTCTCTGAGGTGCGCCGCTTTTTTTCAGCTCCACAATGCTGTTCTCACAACCTGCAGACACACAAAACAATCATCAGCGTCTTTTATTTTTTGTAGAAAATATTGGTTTAGTAAAGGCAAAGGAATAAAGGTTTTACACTTTTTACACTTTGATGCTGACTGCAGTGGTAAAGATGGAATGAAAGACAGACTTAAGGACATAAAATCACTGGTAGCTGCATTCAGTAAGTGGACATTCAAACTAATGGAGCAAAGTTAAATACACTGATAGGTATAAACTGCAATCAGTTTCTGGGTGTTTCTTTGCTCCTGTCACACTTTTTCTTCACTGTTGGCTCATTGTTCACTGCAATATAAAGCCTTGCACCCTAATTTAAACAGCACAACCACTGTTAAAAGGAAAAAAGAACTGAAAAACGCCTTCTGTGCAGTGTGATACAGGTTTTTTATATTTATTTTGTGCAGTGCAGCATTTTTCCAAGTGCCCACTTGTGTTGCAAATACTAGTCTCTGAATGCTATTCATATTTTACTATTTACATGTTTATAACCTCTATAAACGAAGGGTTTTTCAAACTACTCTGCACATCAGCTTTAAAAGATGTTTCACCATGCTGAATGTATCTTCCAACAACTTGCTCCTCTGTGTGCTGTTTTTGAGCCATGCTGCATTTATTTATTCATAAAGTATTTTTTTTTTAATTTTCCTCTTCGTCTGTCTCATCATTTCCTCTGTGTTGTGTGGAAACAGCTCAACCTAATAGTCCCTGAATTTTTGTCACATGACTGTGAATTATTAATGACTGGTTGTGTCAAGATCACAGATTTTTTTTTTAAATTTTTTTACAGAATATGGTGCAAATTGTTTATTTTTGCAGATTTTGACATGTACAATGAAGCAATTTCGAGATATTAGTCACCATTTATTTATTTTTTTAATGTATTTTTTGGGCTTTTGCCTTTGTTTAGAGCAGTACAGATAGACAGGAAAGCGAGGAGAAGAATGGGGAGAGACCTGCAGCAAAGGGTCATGAGCGGGAGTCGAACCCACAACCGTTGCGTCGGGGAACTATAGCCCCTGTTCATGCTTTTTTTAAATATTACATTTGGTTGAGTTTCTTGATTGAGCCATACGTTACACATGATTAGTTCAAGGACCGTTGGAAAGTTTAGAATCCAACAATTCTTTATGTTTTCTGGCTTCGACAAGTGCAATAATGCAGGCAGTTTTTCATAAATAGTCCACGCCTGTCAAACCAACTGCTGTGTTTTGGGGTTCAAGTGGCTTAAATGACTGGAATCATTTCAGCATTAGAAGTCAGAAGTGGACAGTTTGTACTTACAGCACCACAGAGTGCCATCGTGGACCTGTATGGAGGACAGACGCTCACAGCTGAGGTGGAACTGCCGCTTCACTTTCAGACTGGACGAGTCCCACTGCAGGATCGAGCCGTCGCTGCTGCAGGAGTACGTCAGCTGACTGGGAGAAAGTCTGATTAAAACACACCGACAGCGCTGCAACACACTCACGTGCACATTTAGTCTCACCTGTTTGATGTGAATGAGAAATGCTCACGTCTCTACCTGCTGTGTTGATCTCTGGTGTCCAGCGCGAGGCTGGTCACTTCCTGTCTGTGCTCGGTCAGCTGTTTGTTGCAGGACATGCTGTGAGTGTCGATGATGTAGATGACAGAGTCCTGAGAACCGATCCACACCTGCTCCTGCACCAGTCCCATCATGCAGTTCTGCACAGAGGAAAACCTCAGTGTCACGTATTTCAGAAAACTGCCAGCTAGCAGACTTAAAAACAGCATAATTATTTGTTTTTGTGTATATTTTGAATTGAATTTCCCTTCTGGGATAAATAAAGTATTTTTCATTTCATTATTTTACTGTAAATACACAGTACAGGACGCACATCTCTATCAGGACTTTGCATACATTGTTACAGAGAAGAGTGTGAATAATTTTGAGAATGCACTCAGTTAAAATATTAGTTCAATCAAAGCAACATTATCAGAGTATTAAAGTATACATTAGAAAATAACTTTCCAGTCTGCAGAATAATGTTCAAATCCTAACGTTGCACAAAAACTATACAGATAGCAGCTCCATGTTGGCTTATACGGTCGTCCTCAAATGTATTCATACCCTCCCATTAAAGAAGGAAAAAAACAGCTGTCACTGAAATAAGCTGACAAAAGTAATAATAAATAAAAATTTAATGAAAATCATGACATTGCTTTTGAATTGTGGTTCAACAGAAATATTAGAAAAAACAACAACAACAACAACAAACAAACACACAAGCATGATGGGACCCGTGAACTAATATATTGTTGAAGAACCCTTTGAGCCAAATCAGGTGTTTTCTGTAACTCTCAGTCAGACTTCTGCACCTGTTGACAGGTATTCTGGCCCACTGCTCATCAGCAAAGTGCTCTAATTTGTCTGGGACAGTTTTGTTTGTTGTTGTTTTTTTTTAAATTATTTTCAACTATAATTCAAAAGCAATGTCTTATTTCACTAAATTATAATTTAGCACATTTTTTATTTATTATTACTTTTTTCAGTTTGTAGTTATTGGAGCGACTATTGTGAATTTTGCCTTTTCTTTAATGGAAGCGTATGAATACATTTGAGGACGACTGTAGCTACAGTTCATTAAACTTCACATTAAAGCACTGAACTGATCTGGCTCAGCCTCCCATCATGCAGCTGGACTCATGTTGTGCTAAAACAACATCTTAAAATTGATGCAGACTTCATCAGCAACAATTATTTCAACTTTTTTTCCACATATGCAGGAGAACTGCTCAGATTTTGATGCATAAAATCAGTGGAGATGCCTTTTAAATAACCGCTAGTAGTTGCATGTCTGCTCTCACCACTTGCGACTCTCCGACCTGGATGCAGGCCTGCAGCAAACACCAGCTCGCTGCATCGAACACAACCACTCTGCCCCCGCTGAGAGCCACCCACAGCTTCGGGTTCATCTCACCCACCGAGTCGTTGCAAGTCAGCTGACCTGAAGCAAGAGATGAACAGACGAGAGGAGGGGTGAGATAAAGATGGAATACTTCAACACGAAAAATTAGCGCTGTCTGTCATTTCATCAACAAAAATATCAACAGATTATTATTCTGTAAAAAAAAAAGTAACTACACCCTTTCATCAGAAGCTTGCATTGTCAACTTTAGAACAAATAACTTGTTTTTTGTTGCAAAGTTTGCAACATGTTTTCTGCCCACATGTCCGTACATTAACCCCCTGAGCTCGAGCAGTTTTGTGCATTTTTTGCTCTTGTCTCTTTCTTGCTTCCTGTGTGCTCATTTTTCACTACAATCTAAAGATCTGCACCTCTGTGGAAACACCACAACCTCTTGTGATGCCATAAATCAAGTGGAATCGACATGCACAACATTTTTCCAAGCGTCTAATACTGCAAAAATGGTGGTAGCTGTTCACATTTTTCCAACTGCTACAAACTCTGCGTCTTTCAGACCACGCTCAGTTTGTCTTTCAACTACTTACTGACAACTTGCTTCTCTATATGCTGTTTTTGAGCTGTGCTGCATTTATTTTGTGGCTGTGGCTCAGGTGGTACACTGGGTTGTCCACTAATGGCAAGGTTGGTGGATTGATCCCCCGCCCCTCCACAGTCCACAAGTGTCCTTGGGCAAAACACTGAACCCGAAGTTGCTCCCAAAGGCAGACAGGCACCTTGCATGGCAGCTCTGTGGCCACTGGTGTGTGAATGTGATCTACTCTCAAATGTACATCGCTTTGGATGAAAGTGTCTGCTAAGTGAAATTGTAAATGTAAATTTTACTGATCAAGTGTAAACACTACCTGCAGTTCACCTGAACACTTTGTCATGTGACTGCTGGTTGCAGCTCAGTCAGTCATGGATTCCCGGTTAAACTGATGAGCACAGCATTTTTAGTTTTCTACAGAATCAGATGCAAACATTTGATTCATGGGAATGTTTAAAATAGTCCTGTAGAATAAGTTATATTGATCAAACATGAAGGTTTTAATCTCAGATTTAGTTGTTTTTTTCCTGATAAAAGTGCACATCACACAAAATCTGTTCAAGCACCTTTGAAAGTTAAACATTTGCACATTTTTTCAGTTTGTGGCTCTGATAAATGCTGTTACTTTGGCATTTTTTTTTAAAAGGATAATAAGTCTTTCAAACCCACCAGCAGGTTTTGGGGTTCAGAGGGTTAGCATACTTTAATAAAATAACCAAAATAACAAATCAACGCACACTTTACGTCACAAAATACTTCAGCTTGTTGCTTTACACGCTATCACTTGTCATAATGTTGTTTATCTGCCCTATTTACTTCCTTGAACTCGGTTCTCTCTTCATACTCGATCAGCAGTTTGCAGGAGAATTCATTCCCTTTAACGCTGTAAACAAGTCTAACAAGAGCGACATTATCCTGCCTGTTAACCACGGCACAGCAGGACTAATGGAGGCCACACGGATCGGTTTCACTGACGCATCTGCTTCTATACAAACAGTACCAACGTATGCAGGCTCCCACAGGCTCGCAGGTGCATTTAAACGTTAGGTTCTTACACATCATGTATGTTTGCTGCTTGTTTATGTCAGAAGAAACCTTTTGGTCAAATAAAAATTCACAAAAAATTGAATTTTTGCATGGGTATGAATATTTTTGCATAGCTGTGCATGACAGGAGTAAATGTTCACAGCACAAAAACTTCAAATGTCAGTTTTAAAAAATATGTTGTTCTTTTGTGGTGGAGCGCTCATTAATGCAACTTAACACCATCTGACAGCATGTGCCTTGTGAACAACATGCAGTTTATTACACAGTGAGAATCAAGCTGACTCTCATCCAGTGTTGACAAAACAGATCCATGCAGATGGATCCACATACAGTTAAAACCAGAAGTTTACATGAACTGTATGAAAAGACATAAAACCAAAATAAGTCAATATTCCAGTAAATTACTGTGAGAAGCTTGTGGAAGGAAACCCAAAACATTTGACCCAAGTCATACAGTTTAAAGGAAATGCTGCCAAATACTAAGGAAATGGATGTAAACTTCTGACTTTAAACAAAGTAATAAAAAAAAATCTCTATAAATTTCTCTCTCTCATTATTCTGGCATTTAGCAAATAGAAATAATTTTGGTAATCGTAACTGACCTAAAACAGGAAAAGTTTAGTCTGATTTAATGTCAGATAGTGAGGGGAAAAAAATGTTTTAAGTCTTTTTATGCAGTGGATGTAAACGTCTAGTTTCAACTGTATGAGAATACTTTCAGGCTAAACACATGTGAAGAAGCAGATTGATACCTGGCGTGTAGAGCAGCACGTGTACAGTCTGAGGTTCAGCCAGGTCCAGCGACGGGTTGATCTTGTGCTTGAGAGTCTCTGAGGTAGTTTTGGGCACCATCATGGGAACTGGTTGGAGATGAGATCAAACTTTGTTAATCCTGAAGGACCATCTGTTGCCAGATTAATGCTCAGAAAAAAAAAAAAAACAACATAAGAAACGCAGCACAAAGTAGAAAAGCAGTAAGATTTAGGTATGGAGATGAGACAATGAGAGAAAGATGGTGTTGTTGAGATGTTCAGTGAGAGGTTTTTATTAATCACACCTCTTTATTCCATGTAATGTCAATAAAGCCTCTTAAAACTGAACAGAGAGGAAGTAAGAAAGACACATCTGACCTTAAAAACATATTGATTAATCAAGTAGTTGTTGATAGAAAACTAACCAGCACCTGTACTGGTATTCAGTTAATTAGTTAAGTCATCTATTAAGCATAAATGTTAACTAAACTTCTATTTCCAAGGCCTCAACACTGACTACTGGGTGCATTTCTTTGTATAAAAACACACTAAACTGCAGATTTTCAGGCTTGAGACTTGCACACACTGTCAGATTCATAATAGAAACAATCATCAGCAAGATGGTTAATCTGAGCGAATCATTAATTTGGTTAGTTGTAGTTCTTCAAAGGGGACCGGTGAGTTTGATTTTTAAATCAGAAAATCTACAAACGAGTTATTCATGTATGTTTCTTTCATAAAAAGTATCAATAAAACACAAGGAGCAGCACAGCCGTGAGTAAGTCCAGACCTTCATGTTTGATCTTATCAAAGTAAGCCAGCTTTGAAGCAGCAGCGATGGACCTCTGAGTCTGCAGGCAGCCGGTGACGGCATCCATCAGCAGCACGTTGGTCAGAGCCTGAGTCATGTACTGAGGGTCCTGCAGAGACACAGAGGGAGGTACATGTCAAAATAAACATGGGTACAGTAAGTGATGGTGAGCACAAAAACAAATACTGTCAGTGCTAATTACAGTATTCACAGAGTTAAGCCCAAAGTTGTTTATAGCTGTGACACATTTTGGATTTTTGTTGAATTTTTATTAGACCAGCAGGTTTATTTTGTCTGGAAACGACATAAACAAGCAACAAAAGACAATAAGACGCTGTGTTAATAACAAACTTTAACTATTTCAATTTTTTTTACTAAAAATGCCCTGTCCAGAATTATTCATACCCTTGGAACTGTCACAAACTTTTGAGAAAATGCAGCTTCTCTATGTCCCAACATGAACATTGTGTTAGCCACGTTAATAATAAATGTCACACTATAGAATATGGTAAGACTGACCAGGAACTCTGTGGTGCTTTTATTAAAACCTGTATTTGTAAGCTGTATTTTTATCGTTGTACATTTATACTCTCTCATTTAATACTCTCTCAGGATTTCTATTCATCCAAAATCGATGTAATACCACTGATATGTGCATTAATGTTATTTCTAGAACAAGTACTTGTGCATATTTTGGTTTATTTATATTTTTGTGCTGCATTCTATATACGATAGCACCTCTTTCTACTGTAAATTGATTAATAAAGGGTTATCTTATCTGTTTTTTATTGTTATTGCTTTTATTTTCGCACCACCCTGGCACTGAAGGAACTGCATGTCGTTTCTTATGTATGCAAATGCACAAAAAATGACAAACCCTGAATCTTGGAATGGTACAGAAGCTGCATTTTCTCAAATCTCTGTGACAATTTCAAGGGGTATGGAGTAAAAATGTAGAAAAAGTTTCAGATTTATCACTGACATAATGTTTTACTGTCATTTCCAGCCTGAAGAAATCCACTGGTCAAATGCAAATTCACAATAAATCAAAATAAGGCATGGGTATGAATAATTTTGGCCTTAACTGTTCACAGTGTCAGTCAGAAGGCCACAGTTTATTATGGTGCAACTGTGACCTATAATTTGGGAGCATGAGATGCAGTTTGAGATGTTATTATTATGCATCATCTTGGCTCTAGTTTCATTGTGACCCGGCTCCAGGCTGTACATTCTCCCCTACAGCCGCACAGTTCATAAAAGAGACGCTCCACGTTTCTTTGTTGCCTCGAATCCTTTTTGTCGGTGGACTGAAGTATCACAGCTCCTTCCTAACCCTAAGCCTAACCCTTTCGCAGACTTTACCTTGTGCTGGTCTGCCATCCTGCGTCCGGCCCACATCTCTTTGACCACCAGGTTCCAGAGTTCAGTCTCCGTCTTCAGGTTGGCTTCGAACGCCTCACGCCTGCCGGAGGTCTGGATGCGAAGGGAAGGAATACGAATGAGCAGAAAGGGAGCTGTTGCGATCTTCACCTCCTATAGAGAGGACCGAGGGAGCAAGGAGTTAAGATAAAGAAAGCTTCGAAACAATGGCGAGAAAACAGATTGGAGACACCTTCACCTGGATGTCTCGGAACTTTGTGATCTCCAGGAAGCCGGGTCGACCCTCGGTGAGCAAAAACAGACGTTTCTGCGTCATGGCGATTTTGCCGACGCCGAGGGAGGTTTTGACGCAGGACGACAACTTGTAGACGCACTCGCTGTAGTCGAGGTGGTCGATGACCTCAGAGGGGAGGCTGACGTCTTGAGCTTCAGCTTCGGCCTCCTTCCAGAAGGTGTAGAAGATTTTGAAGAGCTCGGGGTCGACCTGCTGAGGCTGACCTGGGGCGAAGACGAAGAGCGCTTGTGTACAATAAAAAGCAAGCAAATGGAGCCAAGAAATGTGCATAAACCTACTAAAAAGGACCAATTTAGTTCCACATCTATCACAGAGAAGCGCCTATTGTTCCTCATGTGTTGCTTAACGACCATCTGGATGCACAAAGATCCAAACAAACTCCCAGAATAGAAAGCTGTTTTTCTTCCATCTTGCCATGCAGGATTAGATTTCACATCAGATTGAAAATCAAAAACAAACACGGGGAAATCTGACGAGACGACACTGGAGTCCAACAGCATGAAGCGTGAGTCTAAACTTTATTTTACGGCCTTCATCACGTGGTGTTTTTCCCTGTCATGTTTTTTGCTGATATAAACTGAGACTCCACATAAAATCTGTTTCCCTTTGATGCACAATTTCCACTTACTAGCTACTACTTTATAATATTCAACTTCTCTTGACAGACAAGAACTCTACAACATAATTCTGACAACTTGAAACCTTATTTAAGATCCCAAAAAAGGGACAGTGTTGATATCTTCAATTAAGGAGGGTTAAACATGTCCAGGACTAAAACTATGACTAGTAAGATGCAAACTGTTGTAGTCACACTTCAGCTGCAGATATCTCAAATTGAAATTGCTAAAAATCTGCAATGACAAACACATTAATGGTAAAAGTAAAATCGTTTTTTCTAGAAGGATGATAATGTGGAGCTCTAAAACACACATCCTGTCTAGCCAGTAAATGTTAAACTGGCTCTCTATACTGCATCAGGTACTTATTTCCACCTGGTAGGTCCAATATTTGCCCTCCTTTTAGCTCTGTTTCTTTTTCTTTTGGGTAAAAGCTGCATTAGACACAGGCTCTGACAATTTACCAACTGGTACTGTGCAGTTTCCAGTGGCCACAAGGTCCACAACAGGGCTCAAAACACATTTTCCTGTCATCCACACTTCATAGCTCATCATAAAAAGAACTTTAAATCTCGTAGTCGCTGCTGGACTTTTCTCTTGAAACACAGCGGAAAGTTCTAAATTCTCCAGATATCCGCTCGAGAACAATCCATTGCTACAGTCCCATCTGTAACCAGCTGCTATATCCTGTATAAGAACATAAAATCACAGCCTTTCAGAAGCACCCTCAGGAGCCCTGGATGTATTTCTGCGCTGGATGCGAACGTCAATGCAACCATCTGCATAACAGACCAGCGTGGCGCTACTGTATTATGAATAGAGTGTTGCGTGCGTCTACTTCAAAGTCATGCAGAAAACATGAATTGGCCTTTAAAGAGCAATAAAGGAGCGTAACAGATCATCTGACGGCTGCTTGATTACAACCACCGTGCTAATCAATTCAAAAGTCTTTCATGTAATGCTGTTGGAGAAAATCAGTGCTGTAAAAACCACTTCAGCGTCCACCATGTCAGGTCAGAGCACATCGAATAGAAGAGCCATGAAAATCACTGACGCTGGACTTTGAACTTCAAACAGCATTCTTTTAGCATTTTCTAATGTTTCAGGTTTTACATCAGACGGTTTAACATAATTCCTAAAAATATTTTAGAAATCTAAATTGATCCCTGAATAACAAGCTTCGGTCTTGCCGTCTTCACTCACCATCAGTGAGAGCCTCAAATAAACGGTGAATGGTGGCGACGTCTTTAACAATCCTGCACTCTTGAACGCAGCGTACAAACTCATCCTGATGCAGCTGCTGGCGAGGAAGTTTGAACTTCTTGACGTAGTCATCAGGCTGCACCAGCAGCTTCTCGTGATCAGTCTTCACCTAATAAAGGACAAAAAATGCAGAATCACTAAGATCATCACTACTTACGATAACAACTCAGATAGCTGTGTGCTTCACAAGCATAGATTGTATAAAAGACGGACGTAGCTACCGTGACGTCACCCGTTGGTTTCTGCACTGAGAAAATGAAGCCAGGGTTTCGCTACTTCCTGGTTGACATCTTGGATTTTGGAGCCAGTGATGCAAAAATCGTCGGGGGGGGCGGAACCATAGGAGCAGTGATTGGTCAGATGGATTGAGAGGCGGGTCCTCTCTGCCCGCCCACATTTACCGCCTTCTGCTCGCTTCCTCTGTATGGTCGCTGCCGACTGTCAATCAAGCCAGCCATGCCCCTTGCCCCGCAAAATTTTGACGATTTTTTAAAAAATTCAGTATTGATTTATTTTCAGATTGGCCACCTGATCTCTGGACTTGACCATGAAAACTAATATTAAAAAATCCTGAGCTATAGGAATGCGGTATTTCGTGATCTGTGATCACTTCTTTTCCAATTCAAGTCTATGGGAGCCAGGACTTTTTGGAGCCAGCAGCTAGCAGGCGTAGTGATATTGCAGGTTGCACTTCCGGGTTGGCTTCATTTTTCAGGGCCGGTTGCTACGTCCATCTTTTATACAGTCTATGTTCACAAGGCAGTAAAATAAAACAGATGAGACGAGCAGTAAAAACACAATTTGGTCGATAAAAAGCAGAGCAGTATTGCAAAAGGTTGAAAACATAAAGAAAAGAAAAAAAAGATGGTTCAAAGGAAACTTAAACACAAGTAAAACTGGGTAAGGCTCTATGATAGAAATAAGTTTCAAGAAGGAACTGCAATCTTACAATTCATACTTTTTAGGCAGCCTGCAGTTCAGTTGAAAAAGTTCAGCTGCCTAATGGCTTTTTAGTTGCCTTGAGGAGAATGTGATTGTTAGTTTTTTACATTTAGTGCAAATGGGTTAGTTTCAGTTCATTTTTAAATGAGACATTAAGCAAAAAGCAATTAGGATAAAATGTAATTTTAAACTCAGATTAAACTCAGGTTAATTTTCCCACATGTTGCACTTGATACACACAATGACCACCAAAAAGGGGAAGATCTGAGGATTATTTCTGTTTATACAGTTTCTGGCTCTAATAAATTGTGTCATTTAGGTGTTTTTCTTTTAAAGATAAAATGCCTTTTAAACCCACTGACGCGTTTTGAGGGTTCAGAGGGTTAAAAGTAATCAATAAAAACATCTTAAAATCTGTCCAGAAACATACAAGGAGTCAATGTAAATGCTTTCTCCGTCTGTTATTAAATGGTCTTCCTGATTATTCTTATTTTCCTTTTTGTCCTGTCCTAAAAGCACTTTGTAACAGTTTTTTAAAGGTGCTATATGACTAAAGTTATTATGATTATTATAAAACAGGAGAGATATGATGTGGTCTCTCGATTCCGGTTAAAAAATGTGGCAGCTGAGTTCTCTGTGTCTTTAGAACCAAAGATAGATCCCATTTTAGAAATATTTCTAATGTGATAACAGCATGTATTTTATGTACAAGCTTTGTAATTTAATCACCAACTGAGGTGTCGCAGAGTTACACAAACCCATGAATCAATAAATGTGCGAGCTGACTGACCTTGAGGATGAGTCTCTTTAGTTCAGGTCGTCTGTGCGCTTGCTGCCTTTCGTCTCGGTGCAGCGAATCCACCAGATACGTGACCAGATGTGTGGGGAAGATGGCCGTGTCGGTCTTGTAGAGGTTCTGGAAGTCGCTCAGAGCGTCCAGCCGCCGCGAACACAACGTGTTGATGAACCCACGCAAGTAGTAGAACCTAAAAACAATGAAGTCAGTGGAATCTGCAACATGTTCTGTAGCGGAACACGCAACTTAAAATAAGATGGCAAGGTGACAGTGAAACAGAATACCTGGCCAGCAGGGCAGAGCTCTCGTTCTGGACAGAGAAAATAGCTTTTCCAAGCTGCTGGATGAGCTCACTGTAATAACTCTGGACAGAGTGGAAGGACAGAGATGCTGGGAAGTCTGGCAGTTTAAACATCTTGACAGGCTTACTAGGTGATCTCAGCGCTGGAAGAGGACAGAAGGGAATTTAAAGAGAGACAGAGATGAGAATATGTGGGACAGGGGAGGAGGACATGCAAGGGGAAAGAAAAAGAGCATAAGCAGTATTTTTCAGACATCTAGACAATGTGAATCTCTACACATCAATCAGGTGTTAATAACTGGCTATATTTCTTGAGCCCCACCAGGATCGGGCGCCATGATCCTGCTCATCAGCGAGTTTCTGTGGAAGCTGATGGTCTGGTCAACTCCCAGGTTGGGGAGGCTCATCCCCAGCCTCTTACTGAGCCGGTTCTCCACGACGGAGCTCTTCCTCCTGGCCTGAATCTCCTGCATGGTGGGTCTGCGAGGGACTTCAACCATGGCCTTCATTCTAGAGGACACACGTTAGAAACAATGGAGACCTGTAGCCTGCAGACTTCTAACTGTTGTGTATTGTTGGACGTAAACATATGACAACATAAGAGGACATGAATACATTTAACTTCACACCAGATTTTTGCTGCTCTACTTCTGAATCTGAATTTATTATCAGCATACATGTAAGCCATTTTCAAACATGGGATACAAATGACTGCTGGCTTCTTCAGTATGTTAAAGTGAAGCATTCTGTCATTAAGCTATGAGTCTTGTTAATGTTCCTCATGCACAGAGAGTGCAACAGTATGGTATTTGTCAGTCAAGTGATGTCCAATGCACAATAATCAAAGTTCTAGTTTATTTTCCACTACTATTTTCCACTTGCAAGGAGCTTTTAAAATCTTTTTTTGTCCTGCTTCAAACATGCCATAGTCAAGCCTTTCGTATATTAAAATAAAAATATCCCACAAGCCGTGAAGCAGCTCCGACCTGACGTTGACCGCTAAATGATTTAACCGCAAACTGTGACTCCGTGTGAAAAGTTCACAGTGTGACCTGATGTTAGCTTCTGATCCGTCCTGTCTCCATGTCAGTATTTCAAATTATAAACACCAAATGAAGTCACTGCTGTTGTGCATAAATGCCTACATCTCTCTCTCTTTATGGATACTCTCATATGGATCCTGGGTATTCAGTCAACTCAGAGGAAAAACTCCTGCAAACTAAACTTCAGCTCCTGCAAACTGTTTTTTTTTAACCTGGAGTACACTTTTTCCTGCTCAGTCTCATTAATCTGACCTGCTACGGTCTCTGTCATGGACATTTCAGACGGCAACAGATCTAAGATTGTGAAGCAAAGTGAATGAGAAAGATGTTTCTCGACGTGCAAACTGTGTGATGTTTTTGGATCAACATTGGTGCCGAAGCAAATCACTTAACACAGTTTAGAGTATGACAAAAATGCTTGTCTATCTATTGATGTGACTGAATGCCAAAGTGATATGGAAATGATTGCAGCTTCTACATTTAGACATGAAACTGGTGTTCAGATAGCATCAGATTAATAGAAAGAAGTGAATGTCTGAAGGGGTTCATGCTTCTAGTTCAACATGTAAATACAGATAAACCTTATGCAGCCTAACATAACATCCCTGCAATAAATCCTACTTTTATAAGGGTTATATTGTCCAGTTTTTCTCATATTTTTTTGTGTAAAACTTGATGAAAATTCTCTTTAAGGCACATTATATGGATTTGAAACCTACTTCTGCATCTCAGAACGTGTGCTCAGTTCCATTCGAGCAAAGTTGTCCATTTTCTTGTTGAGACGATCCTTGAGGAACGAATGGAAGATGTGGGTCTCCAACACCTGCAACGCAGCAAAGGTAATATCTCTGCGTGAGATAATCTTTTTCTAGCATCCAATGACTGCTAATAGACATCAACCACCAGGTTTACCTTCTTGTAAAAAACTTGCTCTGCTGGCTCTCTGGTTTTCAGGAACTCCTCGCTGTTAAAGACTCGGTGTTCATAGTTGAGATGATTGCTAACATCCCTGTGAAATACACACACATACATTGAGTAAATACTAGTATATACTTAAGAGAACCACCCCACTTGATGTTAGTACACGCAGAACCTGAATATGTTGACTATGAGTTCCAGCGCGACCCTCTGGATGTGGTGGTTGAGGTTGTGTTGCCACGTTCTCCTCTGAGCTCGCTGCTCGTTGATGTCGGTGCAACTCGCGTGACGGCAGTGATCCAAGTCAAAGTGTATCTGCAGTGACTGACACCTGCAAAACATATTCAGATGAATGAAAACAGAACATCTCTTGTGTAGTTTGAGAGAGGCTTATTATCAATAAAGTTGTATATTTAACACGTGAGGCTCCAGTTCAAGCTAGTGTTTTTCATGTACTACAGTTCAGCAGTTGGTTGAAGATTCGTCGGTGCTACAGCGTTACCTCTGTGTGAAACAGTCTGCAGCAGCCGGAGGAATGTCAGGCAGGTCAACGGTTTCGGAAGAGGAAGTGGAGACGCTTCCTTCATCAATATTAATTAAGATCAAATCTTCCGTTTCCTGGATACCAAGATTAAAATATAAAAAAGAATCATCAGCGTTCATCAACATGAACAACAAAGCAAGGAGCAAATGACTTACAAATCGAGCTAAAACTGCCACAACACCAGTAAATTACATTTAAACTTGGAATAAGTAAATTCCACAGCTTTAATCGAGGCTTCGTCAGTTCTGATTGGCTGCAAGGTACCAGGTATTTGTTCTGATTCCCAGATCAAATGACTTAAGACCAAAGACTCACATGCTGAGGCTGTGAGTGGTGGTGAAACTGCCTGCGACAGGATCCAAGGACTGCATCATAAGTGCCTGATAAGTGGCATCACAGACCACCTCCACCTTTTCAGAGATGGCTGCTCCACTTTAACACTGATGACCTCCCTGACTGCTCTACTGTCAGGCTCAGCGGTTCACCTCCGTCAATAAAGAGATTGCTTTGAGGACAACAATGTGCACATTCTGGAGAAAGACGATTTGAGAAAGAAGTGAAGGAAGTCCTTGATGTTAAACTGTAAAACAGAGCATTTATCACACCACTTATCAGGTCCTTACAATGCCGTACTGAGACCCCTAACCAGGCAGTTTTACCACCATTAACACCTTGAACAACATGAGTCTTGGGCTGTTAATGGGCAATGAGACGTGTGATTTAGAGGTAGGAACATAGGTAGTTTTACTGGGAAAAAGCTCTCTTTAATTTGTAATTTATTTCACGATTTATGATGCCAACACCTGCCTCAGTCCACTCCTTAGTCACGCACTCCTGAGTTGTTGAATCAACTTTTTTTCCCCACCTTGTCCTACATACCTGGGACACCCAACCAGCCAATTAGAACTGCAAAAGCCTCTTGGATAAAGGCGAAATGTCTTCAAAAAACACCCAAAAAAATTAAAAAAGTCCAGTTTCCTTCCACTGAAGCACCAGATCACTTTTAAGGGACAATCGGTGGCCAATAAAAAAAAAAAAAAACTCCCAATATACCTTTGATGCCTGTGCTGTAAAGTGTAATTTGGTAGGTTATATACTTACAGCAGCGACCTCAGCAAAGTGGCTGAGATGGCAGCCCATCAGAAAGGCAGTCGGAGCCATTAGAAAGTCCAGCATGCCTCTGGCCAGGACAGGAACATAAGGCTGCTGCCAGGACAGAGGCTGGAAGAGAGATGAAAGGATGGACGGCTTCAAGAAAGATAAAGGAGGATGCAACAGCTTTCAGATTTAAATTTTAGATTCTGAACTGACCTGCAGGAAAAGCAACAAGCACTCCGCCATCAGCGTGAGTCTGGACCAGTCGGCAGAAAATAAAACCACCCGCTGTTCCTGCAGGAGACAAGATATCACCTGCAAACACACACACAGAGAGAGTTACCATGAGCCTCCTCTTTGTTTGACTAAAGCACAAAGTGTGCGTAATACCTGCAGCAGCTGCTGAGGCCTGAAGCAAAGCAACGGCAGGTGGAGGTCTAAATCCACAGCCGGGAGGTCTTTGTCTTCTTTGGCGGGTAAAATGATGGTCAGAGGTCGTAGTGTAAACATCTGGAAAACGCAGCACAAACAAAATAATAGCACTGATAATGTTGTTGGTGTCAGAAAAAAAGGCTTTATGTTTATAAGTTAAAAACACCAGATGTAGCTGTCCAGGAGGCGGAACCGGCACAAGGGTCAGTTTGGCCGCAAACTCCTTCACTCTGTCTTCCATGTCTGATAGCCGACAAGTTTTGAGCTGGATTAAAAGACTAGAAAATAAAGAGAAAGAGACACTGAGGTTAAAACATGATAACTGACAAAGCAAGAACAATCTCTTTATGCAACATATGGTGCATAGCCATGATTTTTGCCACACACATGATGTTTAACAGCTGATTTGAAAATTAACTCCAAGCAGTTTGTTTTTTTCCTCCTGTCACATTCCTCCTGACTGTGGCTCATTTTTCACTGCAATATAAAGTCCTTCACTTTTATGGAAACAGAACAACCATGAATAGAAGTAGAGAGGACTCAGAAATGTATTTTGTGCCGTATGACAAAGTTATATTGCCATAAATCGTAGTAGGAAACAAAAATGTAAGTTGAATGTCATTATTTTACAAAAAATTGAAAACCTGAAATCCACATGTTCAATTTGACCCCAGGTGTTGCCAATACTGGGGAAGAACAGGCACTGCATGCTACAGATATTTAACTATTTACATTTTTACATCCTCCAGAACAACAGTCTCCAACCTTTTTTGCACCACCGACCGGTTTCAAGCAAGACAATTTTCTACAGCCCGGTTATAACAAATAATAATTGTTTTTTTCTATTAAACAATTGTCATAAACAAATAGAATTATTTGTTATTGCTAAAAATGTATTTACTTTTTCTTTTGTCTTAGCATCGAGTTTCTACCTCTTTTCACAGAAGCTCTCCAGAAAAGCTAGTTTTTTTTAATTCATTTTGGCAGCAGCTAGACTGATGGCTTTGTTAAACAGCTGGGCATGAAAACAGACGTAGTCAAGTGCAGGAAACAAGCGGGAGACGAGCTAGTCATTTTTCAAAATAAAACACCCTGCAGACTCCGCCGTAAATCAAATAAAGCAAAAAAAATACTTTAATTCTGTTTCTGCGATCACGGTCTGGCACTTTGGGACCACTGCTCTGGAAAATCAGCATCTTTCTTTCTACTCTGCTCGTCAGCCGTAGAAAGATGTTTCACCATGCTGAATGTATCTTCAAATGATTTGCTTCTCTGTTACCATTTCTGAGCTGTGCCGCATTTATTTTTAGTAATCAAGTACATTTGATTCCCCTCTCAGTCTTCTCTCCTGTGCTCTGCATAAACACGGCCTGCAGTTCAGCCTAAAAGTCTAGAAGATTTTTGTCAAGTGACTTGGCTGGGTGAATCACGACTTCTTAGTCGAGCAGAAAAGCAATTTTTTTATTTACAAAATCTGCTGTATATGGTTTATTTTTTTGGGCCGTTTTTTCACATGTAGAATAAATTATTTTGATAAAATATTGGAATTTTAAACTTAAATTTGGTTCCGTACGCCACATGATTAGTTCAATTACTGTCTGAAAGTTGAAACTTCAATGATTCTTTCAGTTTCTGGACGATAATTGCTGTAATTTCAGCAATTCTTTAAAAGAAAACAAGTCTTTTAACACCTCAGACAGATTTGAGAGTACAGAGGGTTAGGAAATGTTGCAGGTAAAATAGGAACTGCATCATTACTGGAAACCACTTTGATTTAAACCCATTTAATTTGTCTGTTTCTCACCAGGACAGACAGTCTTTGAGTGCAGTGAAGAACGGATACTTGGATATGACACAGAAACTGTAGGCAGAGTAGAGATTGGAGGAATCGGCACTGTTCTGATAGAAAAACGTTCCTTCCTGCCAAAACACAAAAAAAACCAACAGTGATTTTCTTCATTTAAGGTTAGTTTTATACAACAGTGTAATGCAGCCACATGTTCACAGGTTAACTATAACAGCTGCATGTAAAATATATTCTAGTTTGGCCTGATGAGCATCATAGGTTCTAGTTTAACTGCTGTGTGTGAAGAATTCCATGTTCTCCGTGTGCACCTGTATGGGACGGTAATACTGCATCACTGCTCCGTGGGTCTTGTTGCCAAAGACATCAGTGAAAACCAGGAAGTGGAATTCTTCATCCTTCTGTTCGCTGGTTACTCGCAAACCACCTGGTTAAAAAAATAAATTGATGCACACACTGTCAGAACATCTTAATATTACAAGACGCCATTTTTGCACAAGTACAAAATCAAATATGACAATATTTGGAAAGTCTAATATATGAAAATTACAGGCACAGTCATAAACAAAAGGCGTCTTTGTCGCACAAAAAAACAATCCTGCCTTTTGTTTTTTTTCATATTTGTCAAAAGTATACATAAAGCGACTTAAGTGATGAGATTTGGTGATGTAGAAAGTTGTTTTAATTCCATTTCTTTGTGGCCTCTTAACGTCTTGTGAGTGACTACAGCTGCTGACTCCTCTAAGCCACTGTAAAT